AAAAACCCCCCAAAAAAACCCCAAAAAAACCCGACCGCCAAAAACCGGGGGGAAAAAAAATTGTCAAAAATTGCAAAAAAGTTTAAAAAGGGGGGGGAAAAAAATCCATCAAAAATCAGGGAAAACCCAGCAAAAATGGATTAAAAAAACAATTGAGAACAGGGTTAAAACACCCACAAAAAATCGGGGGAAAAAAATAACCAAAAAGCAAGAAAAAAAAAAAAACACTGAAATTTGGAAAAAACCCATCAAAAATCAGGTGAAAAAAAGCACAGAAAATCGAGAAAAAAAACCATCAAATCTTGGGGAAAAAAATCCCCAAACGGGTAAAACCTCACCCGGCTTCGGGGTGGAAATGGGGGCACCCCAAAATTCTGAGGGGTTTTGAGGCTCCCAAAAAATCCCCACCCCCAAAATCTGATGGGAAACGCCCAAATTTGGGCACAAAACCCCCCAAAAAACCCCAAAATCTGATGGAAACCCCCAAATTTGGGCACAAAACCCCCAAAAAACCCCGAAACCCGACGGGAAACGCCCAAATTGTGGCGCCAAACCCAAAATCCCACGGGAACCCCGATTTTCGCTGTTTTCCCCCAAAACCTGGGGGTGGAATTTTAACAGAGCGGGACCCGAACCTCCTGAAAGCCCCAAATTTGGGGTTTTGGCCCCAAAACGCCTTGAATTGCCCCAGTTTTGGGAGTTTTGGCCCCCAAATTCTGGATTTTGGCCTCAAAATGCCCCAATTTTGGGGTTTTGGCCCCCAAATTTGGAGCTCTGGCCCCGAAATGCCCCAAACTGCCCCAGTTTCGGGGTTTTGGTGCCCAAATTCTGGATTTTACCTCCAAAATGCCCCAATTTGGGGATTTTGGCCCCCAAATTCAGGGTTTTGGCCCCAAAACACCCAAATTCAGGGTTTTGGCCCCAAAACACCCAAATTCAGGGTTTTGGCCCCAAGGCCCCCAAATTCAGGGTTTTGGCCCCAAAACACCCAAATTCAGGGTTTTGGCCCCAAAACACCCAAATTCTGGGGTTTTGGCCCCAAAACACCCAAATTCTGGGGTTTTGGCCCCAAAACACCCAAATTCAGGGTTTTGGCCCCAAAACACCCAAATTCTGGGGGTTTGGCCCCAAAACACCCTGAATTTCCCCAGTTCTGGGCTTTTTTGCCCCAAACTCACCTCCACCAGCTTCTTGCTGTTCTTTTTGGGGGGCGGCCCCCGCGCGGCCCCGTTGGGGCCCAGGCGATGTTTCTGGAAGGTCAATTTGAGCCCCTCCTCCTGCGGGAAACGCCCCAAAAACGGGGACAAATCGGGGCAATTTGGGCAAAATCCCCAGGGTTCAACGGGGGCGGGGACTGGGGAGGGGTTTGAGGTTCGGGGCCATTTTGGGAGGGTTTTGGGGTGATTTAGGAAGATTTTGGGGTGATTTAGGAAGATTTTGGGGTGATTTAGGAGGATTTTGGGAGGGTTTTGGGGTGATTTTGGGAGGGTTTTGGGGTGATTTAGGAAGATTTTGGGGTGATTTAGGAGGATTTTGGGAGGGTTTTGGGGTGATTTAGGAAGATTTTGGGAGGATTTAGGAAGATTTTGGGGTGATTTAGGAGGATTTTGGGAGGGTTTTGGGGTGATTTTGGGAGATTTTGAGACACTGAGGATTTTGAGGGAGTTTTGGGGAAGATTTTGGGGGATTTGGGGACAATTTTGGGATGGATTTGGGAGAATTCTGGGGAGGATTTGGGATGGTTTTGGGGAGGATTTTGGGGTGATTTTGAGAGGATTTTGGGATGGTTTTGGGGAGGATTTTGGGATGGTTTTGGGGTGATTTAGGAAGATTTTGGGGTGGTTTTGGGAGGGGTTTTGGGGTGATTTTGGGGCACTCACGTCTTTGATCTGCACCGTGAACTCCTTGTCCTGGTGGCGCCCGCGGGGGGGGG